GTGGCACGTCAGGGTGCAGTATAGGAGCTCGGCCACAAGGTGCCTTCCACAAGGAAGGCATCCCTGAGACCACAGGACGTCCGTTGATCTGTGGTGTAGGAGCGTCGCGCTTCCCACAGCAAAGGCATCGAAACCGAAGAAACCCAGGGCACCCTGGAGGCAAGCAGGGTGTTTCTTGGCATGGCCTCCACTGTAGAGGCTTTCCGGCCGCCCTGGGAAACGTGTATTTTACTCGGGAGCGGCCAACAGGGGGGCGTCCAAGAGGAGGGGGCGCAAATCATAGCCAGGGCATGCGCGCGGCCCAGGGGGGGGCCAGGGACGCATGGAAATAAGAAGAGGCGCCGTGAAATCTGGGAAGATCTCATGGCCCCCGCCATGACGTCCACCCTCCCCTGGTCATCACCCCCCCCCCCCTTTGCCGCCCCCGATCTGCACCGCTCTTCGCCCGCGACAGCGACCACCCCAGCCCGGGCCCCAGCGCCAGCGAGCGGACCCGGGACGCCGGCGCGGAGAAGCAGGCCCGCGCCCGCAGCGCCTCGGAGCAGTCCTGGGGCGCAGCCAGGGAAGCAGCTATGTCAGAGTGAGGTGGCCGAACGGTCATTCACTGTCCCTGGGCGCGTGGCTGAATGGGGAATTTGTGGTGAGATTTCTGTTTGTTGCGTTGTTGTTGTAAAAATTGTTTGTTGTCGTTGTTGTTGTCGTTGTCGTTGTCGTTGTCGTTGTCGTTGTTGTCGTTGTCGTTGTCGTTGTTGTTGTCGTTGGTGTTGTTGTTGTTGTTGAACATTATTTATTCTAAAGAATAATTATTGTTGGGCCCCCTGGTGCGCGCCCCCCTGCGCCGCCTAGGCCGCAGCTACATTTTCATCATTTTCGTGAGGAAGCCTCAGAAAAGAGGGTGTGTACAGGATCCGGTTGTTTTGTTGTAATCCGCTTTCCCTTGCAAAAAACAATAGAAAATTACATTTCTTTCAAGAATCCCTTGCAACAAATGACACGAAGTGCACATTCGCGCGCGCAAGACGAAATCCTTCCAAAACCTTAGTCTTCGTAGCGATTTTCACATAAAAACATGAAAAACCCAATGGTTTTTCAAAAAAGGGTTTCAACAATTCACCCCGCGCGCTCTTGCGGATTTCTTAGGAAACCCAATACTTTTTCAACATTTCTGTCAAACGGGCTCTTGCGAGCAATTTTTTCACGTGCTTCGAACTTCTGCAACAAAGGTTGCGCGCCTGCCAGGGCCATCATCCCTGTCAAATAATACCATCTGGGACACATTCGTTTTTTCTTCGCGCGCGCACGCCGAAATCTTCAAAAATCATTGGGTTTCTTAGGAATTTTAGCACCGCGCAACATAAAATCATACGAATCGCACCGTAGGTTCTCAAAAAACATCTGTACGAATTTTCAAAATTTCTACCCGCGCGCGCTGTCCGAATCCTTAAAAACCAATGGTTTTTCAACATTTATGTTATAGAGCTCGCGCGAGCTGTTTTCGCAAGCTCTTTCAACGGCGTTCGCGCGCCTGCCAGGGGCCACAATCCGCCAGTGTAGTAGCCACGCGCCAGTGTAGTAGCCACGGTCGTCCGCAGGCCACGAAGTGAAGTGTCCGAACGTCATAGGGCGGGAAGCTGGGTGTGGGTGGTGGCGAAGAGTCGTTTGGAAATGTGGTAGAGCTTGAACCGGCCCCCCCACAAAGTGGGGGTATTGCCCGCCTCCTATGAAAACCCTGGCACTGGTGAGAACGGAGTGTCCCCAGTCTTAAATAATTGTTGTTGTTGTTGTTGAACATTATTTCTTCTAAAGAATAATTATTGTTGGGCCCCCTGGTGCACGCCCCCCCGCCGCGCCTAGGCCGCAGCCACATTTTCATCATTTTCGTGAGGAAGCCTCAGGTAAAACGATGTGATCCAGATCCGGTTGTTTTGTTGTAATCCGTTTTCCCTTGCAAAAAACACTATAAAATGACATTTCTTGTTCTAATATAATCAAATTTCAAGAATCCCTTGCAAAAAATAAGGTAAAGTGGACATTCGCGCGCGCAAGACGAAATCCTTCCAAAACCTTAGTGTTCGTAGCGATTTTAACATAAAAACATCAAAAAACCAATGGTTTTTCAAAAAAATGTCAAAATTTCATCCCGCGCGCTCTTGCGGATTCGTAGGAAACCCAACACTTTTTAAACATTTCTGTCAAACGGGCTTTTGCGAGCAACTTTTTCGAACTTCTGCAACAACGGTTGCGCACCTGCCAGGGCCATCATCCCTGTCAAATAATACCATGCGGGACACATTCGTTTTTTCTTCGCGCGCGCACGCCGTCGTCGTCGGCCGCGGGGCCCTGAATAGTAGCCACGGTCGTCCGCATGCCACGAAGTGAAGTGTCCGAACGTCATAGGGCGGGAAGCTGGGTGTGGGTGGTGGCGAGGAGTCGTTTGGAAATTTGGTAGAGCTTGAACCGGCCCCCCCACAAAGTGGGGGTATTGCCCGCCTCCTATGAAAACCCTGGCACTGGTGAGAACGGAGTGTCCCCACGTGCTAGTAATTGTTGTTGTTGTTGTTGTTGTTGTTGTTGTTGTTGTTTGTTGTCGTCGTCCCACCCGCGACCCACCCGCGACCTTCCCCGCGACCCAGCCCGCGACCCCCCCCGCAACCCACCCGCGACCCACCCGCGACACACCCGCGACCCACCCCGCGACCCATCCCGCGACCCACCCGCGACCCGTCCGCGACCCACCCGCGACCCACTTCGCGACCCACCCGCGACCCACCCCGCGACCCACCCTCAAGGTAGGAGAAACCACCCGGACCCGACAATTGACGTTTACTAAAATGCCCTGGGCGTTTACTAAACAACCCTGCCCTGTTCGATTGATTCCTTGTGTGCGTTTACTAAACGGCTTCGCTTGTCGGGGTGATTATGATGGGGTGGATTTTCTGCCCTCTACACCCGCGACCCATCCGCGACCCAACAACGACCCACCCGCAACCCATTTGCGACCCACCCGCGACCTACCCACATTGGTTCAACGAAAAAATCGGCGCCTGCGGCGGGCTCGTTGTATAATTTGTGAAACTTTGGAGCCTGCGGCCAGCTTCTCCAGAGTCTCGCAAACTGCCGACGTCCCCACCGCCCCCTCACTCTTATCCGCATCTGCGGGGTGCTACGTGTGTGTGTGTGTATATACATATGCATATATGTAAATACACACAAATCTCCTCCGATATGTGTTATTTTCAATCCGCGGCCCCAGACCCAGACCCGAGTTTTTTCGTTATGTTTGGCTCCTCCTCCTCCCTTTCCTCCTCCTCCTCCTCCTCCTCCTCCCTTTCCTCCTCCTTCTCCTCCTCCTCCTCGTCCTCCTCCTCCTCCTCCCCGACGAAAAATGTTTCGCTATTTTTGTCTTCCGGGCGCCCTTGCCGGGCCTCGGGGCCGTCAAGAAGCGACGCGCAGGATGAAAAGCCGGTCCCGGGGAACGGGTCGAGACCTCTGGTGGGGGCCGACGCTGTGCACAAATCGTGACGTCGGGGCCCCCTGGGGAGGACCCGACCCCTCCCCTGGGGGTGGTCTTCCATTTCGTCCCTGATCCAGTCTTGATGGTCCCAGGGCCCGATGACGCGCCCCGGAATCCCAATTAAGGGGAACACGCCAGATCGAAAAAATCAGATCCTCGGACTCCTGGGTACCCATTCCCACTGCTGCGGGGGCCGTGCCCCAGTGCCTCGTTGGGAGGGGGGGGGGGGCAGACGGGGAGGTCTGCCAGCCCCCGGGGGGGTGGATAGACATCCAGGCCCACCACACTCGGCGGTGGACAAACCTGCCTTCAGTAAACCTCCGTTTAGTGAAAACGGCCTGGGGCCGAAACCGACGGACCTGGACCCGCAAAAATGTCGGCCGCGACGCCCTTTCGCGAACCGAAAACGGCCAATTCTTTAATCGACGTGTCAGGGTAGGAGGTCTGTCCACCCCCGACACACCTCGAGACCCCGAGGCACAGCTCCGGAGCGGTGGGCCGGAAAACGCCTTCTGGCGGCGGCGTGCTCCTCGGTCGAGCGGGTCGGCCGCGGCTTCCTCGACGCGCCCCCCGACGAGGAGGCGCCGCTGCTGCCGCTGGGAGCGCCCGCGCTCCGCCCCTCGAGGAGGAGGGTGGGCAGCAAGGACGGCGAGCAGGAGGAGGGAGACCGGGAAGAGGAGGAGGAGGAGGCGGAGGAGGAGGTGGAGGAGGAGGAGGAAAAGGATTATGATAACAAGGAGGAGGAGGTGGAGGAGGAGGTGGAGGAGGAGGAGGAGCAGGAGGAGGAAGAGGGGGAGGAGGAGGAGGAGAGGAGAGAGAAGAGGAGGAAGAGGAGGAGGTGGAGGAGGAGGAGGAGGAAAGAGGAGGAAGAGGAGGGTGAGGAGGAGGAGGAAGGAGGAAGAGGAGGAGGAGGAGGAGGGGGGGAGGAGGAGGAGGAGACGAGAGGGAGGAGGGGGAGGAGGAGGAGGAGGAGGAAGAAGACGGAGGAGGATGAGGAGGAGGAGGAGGGGGAAGAGGAGAAGGAGGAGGAGGAGGCAGAGGAGGAAGAAGGAGGAGGGGGAGGAGCAGGTAAAAGGAGGAGGAGGAGGAGCGACAACCCTTGCGGTCACGTTCGGGGCGGCTGCTCCGGGCTCGCGGCGGCCTGGCGACTCACGTCGCTGTCGTAGGTGTGGTAGACGGATTTAATGAAAGAGTCGAATTCTGAGAGCTTGCGCTCGCTGGTGTCGCCCATCGAGTCCGCTTGACTTTGCTGATTCGGAGAGAGCGTCCTTGTGGTATCCGAAGCACCTGGCCAGGTCGATCATGTCCTCGATCGTGTCGGAGTTCTGCACGTCTACCACACACCAAGCAGGTCCAGCATGCCGCCCTTGAGGAGCCACTGCTAGTAGTCGGTCATACTCTGGTCGCTGAGCGTCTGCAGGGAGCCCATCTCGTTCATCTTGTCGCTGGCGATGGTCTCAGCATAGCCACCGCTGTTCATGCCCAGTCAGCCGTCCTGCAGGAAGTAACTCAGGCAGTCGAAGATCATATTGTCGCAGAGGGTCGGGGTGCTGATCGGCATCAGGTCGACGGGGTCGGTGGCGAGTGTGAGCGCGGGCTCGGCGATCACAGGCTCGGTGCTGGCCGAGCCCCTGCGCTGGGCAGTGACGGCGTCGAACTCGGAGATCGCGCTGGAGGCGGCAGCGATGATGGAGTGCAGGTTCTTCAGGTCGGGCGGGAGCCCAGCAACGTGAAGAGCATCCGCGGTTCTGCTCCGTGGAGGCTGCAGGTGAAGAACAAAGCCGTTCAAGCGCATCCTCGGTTCTGCTCTGTCGGGGCATTGGAAGTAAGGAACAAACCGCCCTTCAAGTGCATCCTCGATTCTGCTCTTCTCCAGCGACTTGCGTTCTGCCTGGTCCAGCATTTCGATCATGTCCAGCGCGCCGTCAGACACGAAATGCAGCAGGTCGCCGTGGCGGTCCTGAATGTTGATCGGCACCAGGTCGACGGAGTCGGTGGCGAACTTGAGCGTGGGCTCGGCGTCCACGCGCACGGCGGAGGCAGAATCGTTGCGATTGTCGGTGATGGCGTCGAACTCGGAGATCACGCGATCCGCGGCAGCGATGACGGAGCGCAGGTCCTTTGAATCGGGCGGGAGCACCTTCTGGTTGACGCTCTGCGCCTGGATGCTGTTCAGCGCTGGCTCGGTGGAGGCGGGCGTGCTGAGCAAGGCGGGCCGGCGTCCACAGGCACGGCAGGAACATGAGCCAGCTGGTCCGCGATGCGTGAAAACTGGAGCCCAGCCGCGCCGATGACCTCGGACATGCTCTGCTTGGGCGCTATATCATGGCCGTGAACCTGCTCGATGAGACCATCGAGGGCACGTTGGTCTTCCGTCGCTGTTGTCCGCTGGCGTCAAGAGCGGGCACCATCTTCTCGAGCTCCGGGCGCAGCTTGGCCATGGTGGACAAAGAGTGATGTACAACATCTGCGCAAGAGGGCCCACCGCCAGAGGCGTCCGTCATCACGGACCTGCGCACGGAGACGTCCTTTAGCATCGCGCCCCGCTGGACACCACGAGAACATGGAAGCACGGGCGGCGGAGACTCTGGAGAGGACCCGCAGCCCGGTGCACGACCCTCGGGTTGGGCTTGAACTTCATAGTGCAGATCCGGGCCTTGTGCGTGCTGGCGTTGCGGTTCTTAGCGATGCCCCGCATGAGCTGGCACTCCTGCGGCGAGAAACGGCCAGGCTCAGCAGCGTCCGCGACAATGTCCGTGAGTGAGTCCCGATGTGGGAGCTGATGGAGAATTTCGAGGTCATGATGCAGGCGGAGACCAGGAGCAACTTGTTGCGCACGACGCTCGTCCTGCACCGTTGAGCCCGACAACGGGGTGGACAGCCATGGCGTAGACCGATGAGTTGCCCACGGACAGCCCACGTCTGCGGCCCATGACACGCAGGGCAGCGAGGAGAGGATCCCCCATCGGGCTGGGAAAGGTGAAGAAGAAACTCGCAGCAGCTGGCTACTTGAGCCACAACGGCTACGGAGGAGGAGGATGAGGAGAAGGAGAAGGAGAAGGAGGAGGAGGAGGAGGAGGAGGAGGAGGAGAAGGAGGAGGAGGAGGGAAGTGGCGGAGGAGGTGGGAGAGGAGTAGAGAGGGATGAGGGAAGAGGATGGGGGGACCAACAGGCACCGATACCGCTGCTCCCTGGACCTCTCCCAGGATGCACTCTGACCAGGATTTCGCGGCGCATCCAGCGGCGGCGACGAGGGCCGCCCTGGAGGCCAAAGGAGGGGAAAACGAGGCAAGGGTAGCAGCACCTTTCCCTTCTCCGAGGAACGCGGGGAACGCGGAGGCGGAAGTTTTAGGTCGGCCATGCCCTCCTGCAGGCGGACTTTGGAAGACAAACGACAGATAGGCCAACCAAAAATAAATGCAAACATATACCAATAGAACACAACATATCGTTCACTGACTACTGCTTTACCATTCTCGAATCTTCCTCCTGCAGAGGGACATGCCCGACTTCGGGAGCGGCCAAGAGGGGGGTGTCCAAGAGGGGGGGTGCAAATCATGACCGGCGGCATGTGCGCGGCCCAGCGGGGGGGCCAGGGACGGCGCCATGAAATCTGGGGGGGGCCAGGGACGTAATGAAATAAGAAGAGGCGCCATGAGATCTGGGGAAATATCATGGCCCACGCCATGATATCCACCCCCCCCTAGTCATCACCCCCTCTTTGCCGCCCCCGACGACTGAAGGGAAGTGGCGGCGCGCCGGGCTGGGCCGCGGCGTCGCTGGCGAGGCGACCGCGCCGCGGGCCGCGGCCGACGCCGCGCGCGCGGCCGCGCCGCCGCCCAGCACCGCGGGGCTCCGCCCGGCGTGGCGCGGCGCGGGCGACGAGGCGCGGGCCGCCGCGCCTGGGCGGCGCAGCGCTGTGCGTAGTCTGGGGTCGGGCATGTCCCCTGACAGGCGGACTTCGAGCGAAAATTAAGAAATTGTCG